AATTTTTCAATCAATGTTTATTTTATTATTGATGTGTAAATGTAATAAAAAAAAAAAAAAACGTTTATTTTAAGTAAGAAAATTGAAAAAGAAAAAGAATAAACTCTGTCTTTCAGTATAGTGTATTATTGGAAGATATTTTCGATGACCTGATATGATGATTTAATCATCGGTACAATTGAACTATATTTACTTATAAGATTTCGTTAGGTAGAAAATTTTTTAGATTAAATTCTAAATTATTTCGATTTTGTGCGAATGAATTACTTGAATAATGAATTTTGATCGAAAAAGTTTTTGATAAAGAGATATTTATTTTAATAATAATTTTTAATTTTGATAGATAGTTAAATTTGAAAAATTCAATATCTCATTCTGCTTGATTAGAAGATTTTCATTTCTCGCAGCATAATTATAGAAAAGAATGTTTTTTATTTATTTTATAACTTATAATAACATTTAATTATATCAATAAGTGTCATTTTAGATAAATTCTTCTTCTATTTTCTAAAGTAACTTTTATCTTACTCAAATAATTCATATCTAATCCTTCTGATAGATATAATAACTTAATATTTTTCCTATAAAATATTAAACAAAATGATTTTATTTAGATTTCAATTTTTATTAAAGTAATAAATAACAATAATCAACGTAGTTCTGCATGAGGAAAATAGTCTTTTATTAAATCTAGAGATAATTCTGGTTGAATGTTTATATTGAGACATTTAATTTTGGTACAATTCATTCGTGTAGTATCACTTGTAAAATTATCCGTTACTCTTTGTAAGGAATTATAATCCACAAAAAGATAAATATTATTTGATAAATACATTTTACTATTATTTAAAAATTGTTCCAAATAATTTTCATGACTTTGAACAATGGCAAGTTTAGTAAGATGAGGATATTCTATAATTGAGTATTGTTGTTTGTTATTCTTTTGTGGTTCTTGATTATGTATACGTAGTTCGCTGACAAATGGAAAAGATTTAGTAATTTGAAGAAAAAATTCATGTTCGAAAGGAAGTTCATCAACTAATGATATTTTATAAACATGTTTAAATAATCCACCACGAAAATTGTTTGTTATATAATTATAATATATCAATTCATATGGATATGAATAAATATGACAATGAAATTGATTTTCTTTTGGAAGACAATCAATACATGAAATAATTTTAGAGTTTTTAAAATTTTTAAATGTATTTTGAATAGCATTATTTGATGGTAAATTAACTTGATTATTAAAAGGAATAATTGAACGTATATTAAATTGAAAATTTTTTAATTTTGTCATATGATTCAAAATATTTTCTTCCAAATTATAACCATCAATAATTTCTGCATTAAAACTATCAAAATATAAACCAAGTTCTTCTAAATTTGACATTCGATGTAATAGTGGAATAAGAATATTATTATAGACTGATAATATAGATCTATGAGTTAATTGAAAACATTTCAAATTTGGAAGTTTTTTCTAGAAAACAAAAAAAAGTATTTAATGGATGTAACTATTGTTCATTTAATCAAAATATATTAATATGATTGATTTACTTTATTATTGATCACTGATAACGTAGGTACCTTTGACAAACAAATGGTAACATAGATTGTATTAAGTTGATTAAAACGACCATCAAGTAAATAAAGACAATCTTCATAAGAGTCAATGACGACACGTAATTGTAATAAAGTTGAAGATAATATATTTGGAGGTGATACACCAAATGTTAATCGATGATAATTAGAACCATTAAATGGACTAAAATTCAAATATTGTAAATTTTTGAACATTGTAAAGATTTGTGTAAATATAAATATATTTGTATCTTTAATTGAACTTGTTGATTCTTGACATTTATTAATATGAATAACAATTGATGATAATTGATTTTTGAAAATTCGAATTAAATAACTTTTATCTAAATAAATATTGAATATTTTTATGAAACTATTTTTTTGGTTAATTTAAAATATTCAATTCTCTTTTTCTTATTTATAAATCAATAATATTCTATTCACAATGATGTTTTTTTTTTTATTCTACAGATTTTCTCCTTTTAAAACATTATAAAATAATACTTGAATTTTATTCAAATTTAGATTCATCGATAAACATTAAGATCAAAAGTATTTTATCCTAAAAAAGATGTCTTAAATCATATTCTAATCAGATCAAAAAATAACTTATTTTAATATTTTCATGTAATTAATTATTCAAAAGAATTAAAGAAAATATCTTACTAGAAAAAAGTTCTCTCGCTCTTTCTGATATAAGATTGTATAAAGCCAGTCCACATAAATTAGGATAATTTGTTGAAAGAAGAATACGATCCATAGATGATGGTTCAAGATTGAGCCATAAAATTTTATGACGAATTTTAGGTAAAATTTCAGCACAAAATTGATTAAGTATTGGTTCAGCAATTGGACTTAAATCATTGCAAGATGTCATAAATGTTAAATATCTTGTAAAAATTGAATCTTGCACAATAGTATCAAGTCGTTTATTAACACCTATTAAAGAATAGAGTACATCAATATTGGGCAATTTTTTCAAAATAATCAAAAGAATTTCATTAGGTAAATCATTCAATTGAATAGATAAACTTTCCATGTTTACTTTTCACATATGATTTTTTTTGCTTTTCCTCATACATATATACCCTAATATCTGTTAGATGACCGATGTCGTCAATAACAATAATGATATATTTTTGTATAGCATAAGTTGATCATCAATGAATAAATCATCGAATGACATTGTTTTTTCTCTCTGCTTTTGTGTAACAACATTTAATTTAATATGTTGTAAGCGTCTTCGGACGTAACAAAATAAAAGCATATTCAAAAAAAAATTTAGTTCAATATGAGCAGATAAAAAATAATTAAAGAAACTTTTTTACTTTTTATAATGTAAAATGGAAAATTCTTTTATTTTAAATATCAAGTAAACATTTCAAAAAAAGGGAATTAAATTTTTTTGTGAATTTGAGATTTCATCATATTACAATTTCTGTAAAAAAAAAAAAAGGCGTGGTTCTTCAACATACAAAAAGAACATAATGAAAAAAATATTGATTATCTATCACAAGTGAACATATGAGAACAGTAAATGAATGTTTTCTGACTAAAATTGTAGAGATGATGAAAATGTGTGAGACGATAATCATTTTTGACAAAAATGATATTTTAAATGAAATTTATCATAATGTAAGTTCATCATAAATAATGTCTTGTAATGTATTTGTTGATTCACGTGCTGAAGTCATAATATACATAGTAGATTCAAGATCAAGATTCTAAAGCAAAACAAAATCTGATTAAATTATCTCCCTGGTCAAGTTCATCATTATCTATTCTATCGATTTTTTCCAGTACGTACTATTTGTTCACCATGCCGGTTTTGGTTTTTATTAAACTTATTGTCATTCGTGTTCCATAATACGTCCTTTGGTTCAGAATTATAATCATTTATATAATATGCCACATGATCTGTGGCATAATATATGGGCAGTGGTACTGCTATTGTTTTCGTACATTGTGGATCATTATGACATAAATAACGTCTAAATTTTACAACAAAAATAATAATAAATTCTTTCTTTTTATTTTCATATCAAATTCTTACGTAAGTAATTGTATTTCATTTGATGTAAAACCAATTTCATTACGTAAAACTTGATAAAACATTGGTTTTGCTGTACCTCGAATAGGTGCATCAGAATTAAGTTAAAAATTAAGACCATTTGGTGAAACAATATCTGTATCAATAACTGTTCCTAAAATACAAAAAAAGGAAATATTCAAATAATGAAATCAAATAAAATTCATTTAACCTGGCGGAATATTTTTTGCTTGATTTGATATTTTATCCCAAGTAAAAAAATGTGTATTATGATGTCGTTTAACGAGAATAAAACAAATGCGAGGAACTTGATTACGACCATATAATTCTATAGAAAAAAAAACAACATTTGATTTCATCGTTGAACAATCATATTTACCTTGAAATGCTCCTTCAATAGCTTTTAATTCATGATCAAGTACTGTTTGAAATGATCCATTACCAAGATCAACTTGATAGAAAACAAGTTTATTTGGTAAACGTAAATTATGTTGAAAAAATTCACGTATTAATTCACCAACATATATCTGAACATCTTTTGTTATTGAATAAGAAATTTTTTGTTTTGGTTCAACTTGTTTTAAAAGACGAATAGAATATTTTGAATTCGTTGAATATGTTGATCCACAAATATAACC